AAACTCATAAAAACATTCACTGTTTATTATCAATAATGTTACAAAACGTTACATGGTGGCAGCGGTAAAAGCGAAATAAACATGAGTGGATTAAAGCCTACCAAACCGTTTGAGCCTGGCAAGAATCCGGCAGAAGCCTGGGAGAAATGGCGGCAAGCCATAGAAATTTATTGGGTGGCAGCCGACATAGAAGGAAAATCATTAAATAAGCAGCAAGCAATTCTACTGCATATAATGGGTGAAGAAGCTTTAAACGTTTACAACACTTTTGAATTCGAAGTAGAAGCCAATGGAGATGGCCAGCCACAACAATTAGAGGATGTTTTAACAGTTGAAATGATACTGGATGCATTTTCCAATCACTATGTTCCGTTTAAAAATGAAACTTATCTGAGACACATTTTCTTTTCTACAAGACAAATCGAAGAACAATCTATTGATGATTTCGTCAGAGTTGAAAACAAAAGCTAGAGACTGTGGATTTGGTAATCTCACAGACTCGTTAATTAGAGACAAAATAGTCAGTGGAATAAGATGTGATAAATTAAGACAGAAATTGCTGAAAACCCGGAACCTCGATTTACCACTATGTATTAGTATATGTCACTTTGAAGAAGAAACAACAAAACAGTTAAGCCAGATAGTAAATAATTCTATACTCTGCGGTCGAAATTATATAGTGACTAATCGCTAGCTTTTGGACTAGTAAGGGGGATGAAGCGTGCCGGGAACGAAAATCTATTGGCGTGTCTGCGTAAAATGCAACAAGATATAGAAAATATTGAAAAAAGATAATAAAACATAACATCTAATATTTTTTACGGTTTGCTATAACCGGCACTTTGATCCATTTTAATTATTACAGCATTTTAAAACGTCCCAGTTGTGTTTTTCCAATTTATAAATTTATTATAGCCATGGAATTAGACCCCTCGTCTACGCTTATGCTATGACGTTTCTCAGGACTGGTATATCAAGTCCGTTTACACCCACTAAAAAAGCATTTCCCTATTCCCTACCAAGTGCAAAAGACAGAGATAGAATATAGATTGACATTCAGTGTAACTCGGTCTCTAGACGATTATAGATTCTATCGATGTGC